CAAAGTGGTACGACCTTACAGTAGAAGCGGTCGCACGCTGCCCATACAGCTGCCGATTATGGTACGATTGCGGGATCACCCGCGATTATCGTACGATAATCGGAAGGTGTATGGACACCTTTAGTGTATGTGTATATTAGGCCCCACATCACATAAAGTAAAACAATAAAAATTAAAAATTCCTTTAAATATCTTGCCTTGGGGGTCCCCTTAAACTGCCTGTATAGTGGCACATCTGTACAATGTACAGAACCTGCTGCAGCAAAAATTAAATTTTTAAAGAAAAAAAATACATTTAAAAAGAAAAGAAAATTGCACGGTTCCCCTTCCCAAACAATGTTAGGAGGGACCCCATTTAAAAAGGAAAAAAAAGGTGTGAGGTCCCACTCAGAAGTCATGCCAGACCCTTAAGGTCTGGTAGGAATTTTCGGAGGGACCCCATGTAGAAAAAAAAGCGTGTGGGGTTCCCCCTTTGTCATACCATGCACTTAAGGTCTGGTCGGAATTTAAGGAGGAGTCCCACCCCCAAAAATGGGGGGGGTGGGGCAAATGGCTTTTACAGAGTAGTGCGCCCTGATTGGGCAAAGTCTTGCACCTGACATGTGGTCAGGTGCAAGGCTTTAGCCAATCAGGGCTCACAAGGCACAGTGCCCAAACACACGAACTGCTGATGTTTGAGTCAAACTCAAGTTCGACTTGATGTTCGAGTCGAACTTGAGTTTGACTCAAACATCAAGCCCATGTCTAGTCATCACACCTAACTATTATATCTCTTCCTCTGTGGGTGATTTTTGAGCAGTACGAGTGTTCGGTCAAGGCATCTATTATGTTACATTTTAAGGTTACATTCACACAAGCCTCCTGCATTTTGTTTTATTTAAACACAGAATTGATCTGAGAAGTACAACCCCAATTCCAAAAAAGCTGTGACGTTGTGTAAAATTTACATAAAAACAGAATGCAATGATTTGCAAATCTCATAAACCCAGATTTTAATCACAATAGAAAATAGAAAACATGTGAAATGTTTAAACTGAGGAAAAGTACTTTTTTTGCTATCACACAGGAGCTAACAAGGATGCTATACAAAACGAGCGGCGGCTTCCCCTGCAGACAGGCAAGAAATTCACTTGCCTGTCTGCATGTCCCGGGTGTCAGGTGAACAATTCCAAAAAAGCTGTGACGTTGTGTAAAATTTACATAGAAACAGAATGCAATGATTTGCAAATCTCATAAACCCAGATTTTAATCACAATAGAAAATAGAAAACATGTGAAATGTTTAAACTGAGGAAAAGTACTTTTTTTGCTATCACACAGGAGCTAACAAGGATGCTATACAAAACGAGCGGCGGCTTCCCCTGCAGACAGGCAAGAAATTCACTTGCCTGTCTGCATGTCCCGGGTGTCAGGTGATAGGAATTCTGCACCCCTGCATTTAAAATTTTTACATGCAATATATACGTACATTTAAACAGGCAAATATGTCATTGCCTGTGTAAATGAGGCCTATGACCAGTTACATTTTTTAATCTTGAAAGCTTAGCACTAGTTTTTCAGCAATGACCACAAAATGTGGAAAATAGACTATGAGTACAGAGCAAAGATTTTAGACAAGTAGAAAAGAATACTTAACAATAATGGGTCTATATAAAAACAGAAATCTGTTTTACCTTTTTTTTTTTGAGAGGAAATAGGTCTGATTAGTCAAAAACAGTCAAATTATTTCTGTCCATTGAAATAGAAAAGATAGCATTAAAGATAAAAACCAAAATACTATAATATAAACAATCATTCCAAAATTATTTTACAGTATCTAAATATATGTACATACTGAGGCTATGTTCACGCCATGTCTGGACCAGATCTGCAAACACAGTGCAGTGCATTTTTACAGTGATTTTACCACGTTCCAGTTCTTTTTAAGCTTAAAATGGGCTTTCAGGTGCATCCCAGTGCGTCCCATGCGTTTTTACGCGTTTTGCATGTTCCGGAGCATTCCAGACCAGAAAAAATAAGACATGCCGTATTTTGTTTGGTCTGGAACAGAAAGCACGACAAAGGTGTGAACTGTAGCCCAGAAATCACATAGGGATACAATGGGATGCGTTTTTGGTCCAGGAGCTAACTGTTCTGGTCTGGACAGAATCTGGACATCCTGTGAACATGCCCTGAGCAATCCAAAAAATATATATTAAGCTCATGGCCCACAGCTACTAGCAATCACAAGAATATTACACTATGCCATAAACCACATTGGTTAGTTGTATTTCCAATATCCTACAACCCACAGAAGAAATAGTAGAAACATATTTGATTTTCAAAATGTCTAGAGATCTAGATCTCAGCTCACACTGATCGCATATGCAATACTCATATAATTTAACTTCACAGATAATAGATTTTGGGACAGAAGGCACACATATTCTGTATCCAGCAGATGCCAAGGCACATGGCAGCCATCTGATCACAATGATGGCAAATGTTCATAATTAAGGAAGAAACACCTGACACTCAATGTGCCATATCGAATCCAACACAGCATTGTTCATAATTTTGTGTCATCCACACAACTTTCTTTCAGGTGTTACTTTTTTCAGTATATATAACTCCGCTTTTTTAAGTCTTACAATCTGATGTTGAGATTACCATAACTGGCATGGTGGCACATGTGTATACTGGACCCTAATGATGTATCATAAGTTCATTGTGATGTGAGAGAAAGGTGGATCAGAGATAGGGGGAGTAAGATCCATGAGCCCATGGGCCATATGAGACATATATACTAGTCATTGTGGCATAATAATGCTGGCAATGAGTCAACTTGCTGCATTTAAAAAAAAGTCCCATATCTGGAGTATAGAACACTGTAGAAACTTGCTTATCAGGGCACCCAGAAATTTAGTGCTCGTAGGTTAACAGTGCTTTAGCAAGTTTTAGGAGTTTTCACGTTCATTTTAATAGCATAGGTCTATAATAGCATAGTAACAAAGGATCATGATATGTTTTAGGGAGTACCTTTGCATAAACTATTGGTTCATGCTTTATTTGTTTATGTTAGTTTTAAAGATACCACGTCCTATATCATTTGCCTTGTTTATCGAATTATAGTTCGCTGCTGAGATAGAAATGAATGATCTATAACTCACACACAAATATGCCCTAGACAATTGTGACTTTAACCAAAACGACCCTAATCTGTACATTAAACCTCTTAATGCCACCCACCTTCTATAAAGCTTTTACTTTAAGGCTGTTAAGGTGTAGCACCTTATCGCTGTCCGTTAGCCATGTGTTTCTGTCTGACCAGGGCAGCATTACAACTTGATGACTAGCAATGTTACATAGCTGCTTCACTAACAGTAGTAAAAAAAAAAATCTCATAATACTCTCATGTCATCCCAAGACAGGCATTAATGCATTAGGCAATCAGACATTCTGTAGATGATGAGATTCACTGTAGAGCCAAGCAGGATACAACCCTATCTTCTCTTCCCTCATCCACATCCCACCATTGTTTCCTCCTGTTCTCCCTGACCCCCATATTCCTCTCTCGCCCCTCCCCTATCTCCCCTATTTACACCCTGCCTCCATGTCTGCTATGCTCCCGAAACCCGTATTATGTAGCTTTCCTTTCTTTTTCTTTGCCACCTACCGAACCCACTGTTTACCTGTCTTATATACACTAAAAAAGGGAGCTGGGAGGGGACACATGCATTGTCTTTATATCCTTCAATACCAGAGAGGTATTTCATAGCGAAATACTCCAGATACTACTATAATGTGGCATGCAATGTAAAGATTTGTGACATATGATAATTCTCGCTACATTTCTGTGACTGAACCTCTGTGTTCCAACTAAATAAACAATTTAAAAGGATACTATGATGTACAGATTATTTAGGTTGTAGTTTGGCATAAATCATTAAACTGTACAAATCCAATCAAGACTGGACAAGATTTCACTGTTGTATTATAGCCACTTAGCCTCGGTTTAGATAAAAATATTGAAGAGTGGTTGCATTCATAAACACTTTAGGCTAGGTTCAAACATCGGCGATCCCAGGACCGTGCGATCGTGTGCACACAGCGGTTGCCGCGCGGCCCCATTGATTTAATTGGGGTTACATCTGCGCGGCATTCGCTGAAAAAAGGCACATGTGCACTTTTTTGGTGACACGCACTGCACGGTTTTTTAAACTGTGATCGTGCGCAATCTGCCCGGCGTGACTGGGGGTGCCATTAGAAAAAAATGGCACCGCCAGAGCAAACGGCGGTAGTGGGCGATTCCCAAACACATCTTTAGAAATGTTTAGTGTTGATAATCTACAAAACAGATACATAATTGCTGGCTTTATATTCTTTACATACCCCATTGCTCTTTTCTTCCCCAGTCTTTAGACAGTGGCCATTTTTACTAAGGGCAGATTACTAGATCTCCTTTTACTTCTTGGAACTCTGGCACATGTGACTAGGACATGTGATCATGCCCATCTTCTCAGGGGAGGAAAATGCCTTTCCCTGAGATCTCATGAGATTTCCCAGCAATGCTCTGCTGATGTAACCTTCCCAGGATGCAACACTTTGGCACATTACATAATTTGTGCCAGAAAAGGATGAGGAAGTATATAAACTTTATTTGTAAGTAAATCAAAAACATGTTAGTTTAACTTATGAATGTAAGATGATTTTAAATCAGCATGCAGAGCTGCATGCTGATGTGATTTTTAGTGAATGGGGGTAAAGGTCGGCTTTAAAGATCTTGAAAAATACACATAGGGTTCTGAACTTGAGTATGTATAAATGAGAGGAGTTCCAATAATAAATAGCTGATATAGCAATACTATGCATCAATCATATCATTTAAACTGACAGAATTTTACATGGTATTAAGTCTTAACTTATGCACCTGTATGTAAGAACTCTAATCTACTTGCAATTAAATAAAACCTAAAGCACCATATATGGAGTTGATTGGACAGATGAGTTTACTTGCCTGACCTGTGGCTGAGGCACTGCATCTATATTTGCAGTTACCTGCACCCCTTTCTCCCAATCTTGCCTCCATGGATCAGCCAGTATGTAAAAGTCTTCTGGTCCAAACTGGTAGGAGTCTGGTACTTTCATAGCCGTTATTAAATCCGTGCGGAAAACCTGAAATAAAGGAGAGAAACCTGGTCATGCTCCATTCTGCAAGTCAGTAATAATGTGGTTCACAACTTCAACAGTGTCCTAGCAATAAGTTTATTTAGTCTATTTATTTATGATGTATTCGTATAAACTACAGCACAATTACAAAGAATATTGAGTCATTCAAAAGGAGTGTGAACACCAAAGTTCCTTTAACAGGCAATTAGAAAGGAGTGAAAAAGGCATTTGAATGTTTCTGGATTGTAGGTGTAAACACATATAGTTAGACCAAACCCCTCCATTATTAGTATAGCTCAGGACACCATTGCTTAAAGGAGAACTATGAGGTGAGTGCTTTTCACTCACCTTATAGTTCTAGCCGACCTGTGACAATGAGACTGTCACAGGTCAGCTCAGTAGATCGGGAGGTGAACGAACACATACCGGGTTCGCTCACCTCTCGATCCTGTCACGGCTCACTGCCGTGACAGGGGGAGGGGCTGGATTCCCCTCTCCCCGCTCCGATCTGCCAGCGCTGACTGGAGGAACGGACGGGGGAGGGTACAGCTGGCTCTGCCTCTAGATAGGCAGAGCCAACTGTCACTCACGCAGTTGGGCGAATCCCGTCGTCTAAGTCGGGATCCGCTCCGGCGTCTCAGTATACCGCGAGCTGTAGCTCGCGGTATACTGAGCTTAGGGTAACGGGAGGACGCTACTTTTTGTCCTCCCATTACCCTAAGGAGAACTATGGGGAAAACACTGACCCCATAGTTCTCCTTTAAGACCTTATTCCTATTGTGTAGGACACTATGTTTCTTTAGGGAAATAAAGAAAACAAATGCATACTGTTTTGATTTGAAGATAACAGGGACATCTTCAAAATCCCTGTTTCCTTTATTTGCCAGAACACTTATTGTTGAGTTTTATCCCAAGCAGATTTATCATCTTTCATTATGAATTGTGAAAGTTTTAGGCTAAAGCGTGAAGCAGGGATCTTACCCACTAGAATCCTCTTAAAAGTGCATTATGCATTTTAAATTAACCTCCAATTAGGCCAATACACACCAGTGTGCTGGGGTAACGTATGGCAACACACATTACATGTGTTGGTCATGTCATTCATAGTAAATGGCACCCCAACATCTCTACAAAATGCATGTGCATTGCAATGCAGCACAGCACAATGCATGGTGCCCTGTGCTTGACTGAGATACAATGCACCCTGCCCTGTTTTCACATGCGTAGCTGTGGGTTTAAGATCATTCATTTTGAATAGGTTGTCTAATGCAACACAATGTTTGTCAACGAACAGTGACACTTGGGATTTTACCTCTGAGCACAAGTCCATCAGTTCCAGCCCAAATGTTTTTTGGGATCAGTACTGAAAGAACAGCCTGGACTGGAATCTGGCCTGGGCTTCCTGTGTAGCCCAGGTCAGATTCCAGTCCAGGCTGCTCTTTCAGTACTGTTGGAACCTATAAAATTGACATCTATGATACAGCTTTGATGGAAAGGTTCCTTGATATCCTGAACTGCCCGTGGCTGTTGATATGCAAATGAAGACCATCAAAGGGTTCCTGGGCTGGACACTGATCAAAGGAGATCTGCAGGACTGTCATGTCTTGGGGCAAGCCCGACCCCCTGCTGGTATTTACTGCCCACACCTGTGTCAGCAAGGCATATATGCTGGAATGGGGGCAGGGGCATATGATGGAACCTTCTTCCTGTGTGACACTAACCTAGCTAAATAGCAAGACCTTTGGACAAGACAAGTCTTTCTGAACTCTGCAATCAAGAATGTGATTCGCTGAGACCTGCTGGAGAGGCGTGTTCTGAGAACAGAGAAAAACCCATGGCATGTGTGAATGAGAGAGAGGATGGTGTAGCTAGCTCAAGGATCCTGACCCCTTCCAATCCCCTTCCCGATTCCCTTAATTGTAATTAGAATGTATGTATATCCCTATTTGTAAACAAACCCAACACTTATTTAAGATTCAGTTGTTCATCAGTAATTTAAGGCACCCCCAAATCAGAGCACATTCTACATTTGGCACCCCAGAAAGAGTGTGGAAATTCCTAAATCCACATAGAGCCTACAAGATGGAATTGCTCTAACTCAAGTTGCTGAAAGAACGGACCAGACCTGTTGCACGGATCTCGTGGTGAAGTCAGCTGGATCTTGGACTTTGTAGAAGGGTTGAAAGTGTGTTGAGTTGTTCATTGAATATGCAAAAGCTCTAATTGTTTGTTGTCCTTGAGTGTATGTGAAGTTGTAATAGTGGATAAAGTATTGAATGCTGTACGTTAATGAGCGTTAAAGCTGAAGAAAGTGTGGATTCTGTGTAGAGGAACAATTTGTGTTTTGTTTGTTTGCAATCTTGACTTTAGTTCAGACTGATTGTGCAAATGTGTAAAGACATTGGTGGAACTCTAAAAGTTAGGTTCTTTATCTTGTTCACTTGAGAGTGTGTATTGGCAGTACAATAGCTTTTATACTAATAGTTGTATCTTGTGTTGCGTGTACGTTTGTCAAATGGAACTGGTCTATAGTTATGTTAAGAAATATGCCTCTGCCAAGTATCATTCATGTGCAGATGAACCTCTTAAAGAGTCAAGTTAATGTGTTGTTGTCTCAGTGCCAGCAACATAATGACAAGCTGCAGAGTGGACAGCTTACAAAAAAATGTAAAAAACAGAAATTGCGGTATTGCTCAGAATCACAGAAATTTCTGTGCAAATGGGGAAGCAATGGAGAGCAGAAAGGAGTCAACTTGGAGAGCAGATAAAGAAAGTTGGAGATAATCTTAGGAGCATTGCAACTGCCTCCAGTGTTGAAATGGATGAATTGAAGGCTACAGTATGCAATTTGTCCGAAAGACATTGTGAGCTGCAAGAACAATTGGAACAATGCAATGCAAACGTTGATATGAAGAGTAGGCTTGTTGGTTCATTGCAACTAAAATGATCTCATATGGAGGAATTGGTAATGTCTTTAGAGAGGAAACTGGAAGATGCAAACTCCAAGCTACTTAGGAAAGAGCGATGCATATTATCCCTCAATGAACAGAAAATAAAGTGTCAGTCAGCCAATATCTGTACGGTCACTGATGTGAATACATCCAGTGAGGTGGCATTAGAAAATGCTCCTGGATATTTAGGGGAGGGCACCAGTGTACTCACAATTAACGACAAGCTTACTTTGTGCCAGATTCTGGGTGACTTTAATACACTGGAGTCACCCGAGTGCCTGTCTAATAAATGTGAGGCTATTGTGCAGAAATACACTTTGAGTGATAAAGATGCATGCTCTCTTCTAAAGGCATGGCTACCAGCACCTATTGGCAGCCCAGATATCTGCACATGCTAATGATAACCTTGCAGATGCAGAGGGGAGGATGAATGTACTGCAGCGTGTGTTGAACAGTCGTGATGATAGAGGGATGAATGAGTTACAAAGAATGAGATTTAGAAGAGGAGATGAACCTATGTTGTTCTGTAACCAATATCTTTCACTGTACAGAAAGGTGTATAACTGTCCTGATATGTCTGCTGATGATCCAAGCTTCACATATTCAATGGCCAATGTTTGTTATGTGAACCATCCTAATAGGATTGCCCCCAGAAATGCCAAGTCATACCAGAGCTTTATCAATATACTTAGAGACTGGTGTGAAGAATCCAGTGAGGGTTATGGATCAGATGCAGATATATCAGTAGTGAGCAGAGGTACAAGAAGGAAGAAATTCATCAGGGGTTACAAATGTCACAGACCAGGGCACATTCAGAGATTTTGTAGAACCCCCAATATTTCCAGCCTGATAAAGAATGATAATGAAAGTATATCTGAGATGAGCACCGCCACCCAGGACAATGAAAGCATACCACAGGAGCCCGATGTGATGGATAACAGCCTTGGGGAGTCAGGAAAGGCTGAGGGCCAAAAGGAGGAGATTACAGATAACAATGGCCCCCACCCTCCACATAGCCAACAACCAGGGGGGACAAGCATACTAATGTTTGCACCCTGGGCTAATCTTCCATTTTGCGTGGTATGCAGTTGGTCCCAAATTGCATTACCATTTTTCATTCATAACATGGCAAACCTTGTGAGCAATGGTTGCTTGGTTTAGGGAAAATATGGGACTTATATTCTAGCCATACAGATAACACGAAAAGGCTTAGGGAATAAGGATTTGATTGGTATGATGGAACCTTCTTCCTGTGTGACACTAACCTAGCTAAACAGCAAGACCTTTGGACAAGACAAGTATTTCTGAACTCTGCAATCAAGAATGTGATTCGCTGAGACCTGCTGGAGAGGCGTGTTCTGAGAACAGAGAAAAACCCATGGCATGTGTGAATGAGAGAGAGAATGGTGTAGCTAACTCAAGGATCCCGACCCCTTCCAATCCCCTTAATTGTAATTAGAATGTATGCATAAACCTATAAAATTGACATCTATGATACAGCTTTGATGGAAAGGTTCCTTGATATCCTGAACTGCCCGTGGCTGTTGATATGCAAATGAAGACCATCAAAGGGTTCCTGGGCTGGACACTGATCAAAGGAGATCTGCAGGACTGTCATGTCTTTGGGCAAGCCCGACCCCCTGCTGGTATTTACTGCCCACACCTGTGTCAGCAAGGCATATATGCTGGAATGGGGGCAGGGGCATATGATGGAACCTTCTTCCTGTGTGACACTAACCTAGCTAAATAGCAAGACCTTTGGACAAGACAAGTCTTTCTGAACTCTGCAATCAAGAATGTGATTCGCTGAGACCTGCTGGAGAGGCGTGTTCTGAGAACAGAGAAAAACCCATGGCATGTGTGAATGAGAGAGAGGATGGGGTAGCTAGCTCAAGGATCCTGACCCCTTCCAATCCCCTTCCCGATTCCCTTAATTGTAATTAGAATGTATGTATATCCCTATTTGTAAACAAACCCAACACTTATTTAAGATTCAGTTGTTCATCAGTAATTTAAGGCACCCCCAAATCAGAGCACATTCTACATTTGGCACCC